AGAGGCTAACGACTTGGATTTTAACGGATACTTAAGTCCACCCCGATGTTTCGAAAACAAATAACAGCATGTAGTTTGACCGAAAGATGGTTCTTACAGGGTTGTCTTTTCAAGAAACGTACCCAGGCTATCTGCTCTGCAAAAACATGTGTTGAATTAAAAATAAAAGGTGAGTAACCCTTCTACCTGGGCCATTACCCCGTCCATCTCAATTTTACTCCACCCTTAAGGTGGGAACGTGTGCTATGAAGAAAACTACATTTTAAGTCCACGCCTAGATGCGAAATGGAAATCTGGTTTCAGTAGGCCATAGAGCGCTGAGTCAAATGTTCTATCACATAGATCCTGGGGTCAAGCCCAGTCGAATGTAGTCGACAATATTCACTAGCAAACTGTAGCGAAGAGTCTGTAATCCCCCAGAAGGAAGAATGGAGTCCGTTATCTTTGTCCTCTTAGCTCTAGCCCATCGATGCCAGCGATTGATTTTTACTACTTGATCAGCAGCGAGTTTTTTTAACTTAAAATACAAGGATGATTAAAAGAATAGGAGGCGTTCACCGGGAGAGGTGTATTGGAGGTCTGACGTTTTGAGTAGACGTCTCTCCTACCTTTCTTCAGAGACTGAGAAGTCATGCACACAGCCTTCCTTATATGGCGCACTTTGTTTGATGCCTGACCCGCCAATACCGACTGTGTGGCTACATCCGACCCGCATGTCACCGTGACCTGAACCCCGCCCATCTTCGTCGGCCGCGCCGATAATTGACGGCCCCGATTGTCCCGCGCCGTGACTGTCCCCCTTCAACGGCGTCAAAATTGAAGACGTGTCCCATTTGGTCGGCATTGTGGGCTGAGGTGATGATCATACGGCAAGGCAGGTGCACGAAGCCTGGATGTCTACTGACTGTTCTGTCAACCGCCTCATGAATTTGACTATCCCCTATCTGGCTTTACGGACATTCTTGACGGGGGACAGTCACGGCGCAGGAAAATTGGGACCTTCAATTATCGCCGCGGCAGACGAAGATAGGCGGAATTCAGGTCACGGTGACATGCGGGTCAGATGCAGCCTCACAGGCGGTAGTGGCGGGTCAGGCATCAAACAAAGTGCGCCATATAAGGAAAGCTGTGTGCATGACTTCTCAGTCGCTGAAGATGGGTAGAAGAGACGTCTACTCGAAACGTTTTGGAGTGCACTTCCGGAAGTTTTAGGCTTACCAGATTACATAAATTTAATCATACAAAAAGTGGCAGTGGGGATCGTTGTTAGCATCTCGTCTGAAATCATTTTCAGTACATTTTAGTGGGTTTAACAACATCGTTCTTATGATTTCTTAAGCGGCGTGAGCCGAACCGTCGAATAGATGCCTCTGCGTGTTGGATGATTTCAGGACGGATTCTCTGGGACTATTTAAATAAAGGTGCTCATAAAAACGGAAAACAACTGCAGCACCACATGTTTGGTATTCGAACTGTTTAATTAGCCCTACTGATTCCAGAAATGTGGGCATTCGTTATACACATTATCACCGACTTTTCTGCCCGAGATGACAGCAGATCTTTAGATTACGCTTTCTCAAACAAAACAAAACCTCTGACCTATCGTGATAGAAATGGTCTGTTTGACTTTTTTTAATGATAAGTTGCAAATAATAATTGGAAAATTGCCACAGCAAATCATAATTCAGCTGTATACAAATAATGTATTTGGAAAGACTTTTGACGGTGCGTTTAAAACTCCACGGGTGTGATGCAGAAATTTTCAGTTAAAATAAAGAACTGCATGCCTGTATGCAGCTTTTTGGTTAGGAGTAACCATTTGCGCAGTAGCTATTTGAGTTTGTGTGGGCGCACAAAGGCAGTTGGTATGTGCACAGAGATACTGTGATTTCGCAGTTTCTAAGTAGGTACTGTCAGGCTAAGACTTGCCGCAAGGAGATCTTTTTATCTCATTGACCCGTATGATTTGGAGACCCGGAAATTTATCTTGATGCGTCAACTAAATTAGTCTTCCCACCCGATGTGAAAATTTAACAGAAAATTCTTTCACTCTACACTGCCGAATGCACTGATTTTCTACCATTGCTGTTGTGTGCGGAAGCAAGTTGGTATCACACACTCTGTGTATTGTAGTCAAAGGGCATCAACTCACCGGACGTCACACTTTTGCTGCCCGCAAGTCTCAAAGTTGACTATTTCTTTAACAGTTAACTTTTATTGTTAGCGGACTGAATAGTGTCATTACGTTCTAACGACCCCAGACCTGGTTTTCAGGGAGGTAATCGAAGTGAAATTACTGCGCGAAAAAAGACATCTACTATACTCCTGAAACAATTACGAATACTGAAATCAGCATAAAGTTGCGCTTGGACTTCATATAAACTCGCAAACTGAAAATCATAAAGTTTTCGAATTCATTGAAAACATATCTGCAGAATCCATAAGAGAAAACGAAATATAATGATACCTGACAGCCAATACGGCGACTGATCATGCAAGACTCGCCCGCATTTAATCACTAATATATTAGTAAACGATTGGATAAACAGTTGAAAGCCTTTGCTCAACTAGCGCAATCTGAAGTCTTAAACAGTTGAAGACAAGGCCCTCTTCGTACATAATGGACTACTTAGAAGTCCAGTTCACTTTAATGAGGAAAGAATGAGTGCAAGGCATAGTGGGTTTATGCCCCGCAACGTAGAGTGGACTGCGCACAAAGAAAACAAGTTCATTGAAATGTATCAAGTAAGGTGTATAAAACCCTTTAATAAATGTCGATGTAAAAGTTTAATCTCTTGTCCCTGAGGCTCGTCTTGGAAAATATTTCCGCAGGGGTTCTGCCTGAAACTCTCTACCGATGTGGACTCCAAACGTCATCTGGGTGAGTATTCCAAGGTTTTTCCTCTCTAATGGAGAACTAAAACATGGAAGCATCCAGCCTTGCCTGTTTTGCGTAAAGTCTTAATAGGTAAATTATGGATCGGCAATAGTTGCAAAATCACGCACATTTACGAATCGGAATACTTGCGAGAGATCTCCTCGCAGTTGCCTATAAGTCAAAGAAAGAGGTCTGGTTTTGTAGACTAATCGCATAAAATATGGAGTCTAGAATCTTAATCATCTTAAGGCGCTTGTAAGCTTGGATTGAGCAGGCTACTTAAGGAATTCCAAAAACTGTACGTCTAATCCGAGTGCGGCGTTATAAATGCTCGGAAGACTTTGGGGAACAGACTTCAATCAAAACACCGAAGAGAATCCAAATGGCGTGTGGTAGGGACTTTGCACTTTCGTTACCTTCGACAAAGGCATGGACGACCTCCAGAACCTGGAAATCAGAGCAAATTCGCTGATAGTATACTAAAAAATAATCTATTTTGGCACTTTCCCGTCATCCGGCGCGTAATTCCAAACGCTTGTCGACAGTAGTTTGTTCGTCTGTCATCGCCAATCTCCAATCGATGTCTCTCGTTCCACCCGATTTAGTTCTGGTACAGCAAGGCTTCGTAAGGTGTTCAGTCGGTAGTAGTCCTCTAAACCGACCAGCCAGCCAAAAAGCCAACGCGACATGATCTTACTCACGCCTGGACGTCCAGCGTCTACTTGCCAGCATGCTTCAGAAGCATATCCAGTCTCCACTGAATGCACTTCTTCGTCGTCCAATCTCTGTTTTTCGTCAGATTGCGACCGGAACTGATAACAGTCGTGTTTGCGATCTGGCCATAACTATTTGACGCATCCTAAAATGACCACGAAAGCATCAAGTCCCGCGATTGTTAAGTTCAGATTATGGTTCACCTTTGCAATTCATTATAAAATTTTAAATAAATACCTAGATTTATAATTCTGGCAGTAGGTCTCGAGATCGAACAAACACGGGCATAAAAACTCAGCTTCCATGCTAGGCCTACTCCAGGCGTGCAAATTATACTCGATAGCCCAGTGCGTTGATTCTTCTAAATTATTTCGCTAGAAAGTTGTGAGGTCATGACGTTAAGAGCGCCAGTTACTCACTACCCGGTAATTTCCTAAATCAAAAATTTACGTCAAAAGTACTACCTACTTGTGTAAGTCCATCTAACCCAATATCAATAAGAGGAATAAAATGTTCCATAAATGAACAACACATACTTAAAAACCCGTTCTTCCTTCGATGTCACGAAGAAGAGGGAAGATGATAATAACTGCGGCTATTTAAACAGAAAGGCAGGACAGTCAGGTTAAAACTTCCAAATCATGTATCTGTGGTATTCTCATTCCAAACGTCATAATATCGGCCAACAAGCCTTTCTTCAACTGCACTGACGATCCTAAACCACAAACAGATATTCTTGAAACGACCATAAGGCTCATTGATAGCCTCTTCATAATCGATTGGCAAGACAGGCTTGGAGACAGTTTTTAAGCAAGTTAGTTGTCAATTATATTAAGTGTAGAAACGCAGCCAGTTCTGCCTGTATCGCGTGATAAGTATTTTAATGCTCTTACGGCCAGCGTGTTTCACGTTTGTGACAATGAAATGATGACTAAGTGAATCGGCGATGATGAATGTGACCCTAATGACAAAGAGGAACTGATTATACCTGGTAAAGACGATCATGTAATGCTAGTCTAGAGAGTAAATAAATGAATAAATACCATATTTTCTGCCTGGACTTACTCCAGTAACATATGAAAGAGCTGGGTGCCCGCTACAAAGTGGTCGTTTGATTGTTTGACGCACTAATTGGTTTTGCGCACAATTTGAACACTCACGTTTACTTCAATGGCGTCCGTTTCTGTTGCCGAGTTGAAGTTCCGGGAAACTGTCTCTGGCCGATATTTCCAATCACTGAGGGACCTGGAAGATGTTATTAAGGAGTTTAGTCAAGTAAGACAGACCAACGAAAGGGTATTTTTAGGCAACTGGATACTACTACAAGGCAAGAAGTTCCCACAAATACCCTTTGTCATCTCCCCATGCCGAGAAGTTTGTATACGTAAGCCGGAAATACGTGTGCGTCATGGCTCCGACGAAGAAGTATGATGAATAATGACTGCGTTTGATCTATATTGCTAGCCGTGTTGGATGCGAATCGTTTTTTAATGTCGTCCATAGAAAGAAGGATGGGATTATAGTAACGTCCTTTAACATGGACCACAGCCATGACTCGCTGCCGCCTGAAAAGGTGGACACAGAAGAAGTTTTTAAGGAGCATGGTTTGCAGGACTTCCGCACGCTAAGTCCGTCATCTCCAAAAAGTTAGTTTGGCGACCACTTCCTAGCACGTGTTTTAGCACAAGAGCAAGCGCTGGTTCTGCGTGCACAGTTTAAAAGACTGATGCAAAACGGCATTTTTAATAGCTATGCAGACCTGATGTCTACAATAAGAAAGTATGAAAAGGTAAGTGGAGATACGGTTACCCTTTCAAAAATTTCAGGCAGCCAACTCGAACTTCCGCATTTCTCACAGTTCCAGGCTGCCACAGGACCACCCGGCATATAGTAGAGTGAAATATAGGTATATCTACTTTGCCTGTATCCATGGGGGCAAATGTCGCGGAGAAAACATGATTCGGAGGACTAAGTAACCCTTTTCCAGTTAAGTAATGACGTGTCAGGTCTAAGAGGTCTGGCTGCAAAGCTAGGTTCACTGCGGTAAAAGTTGGAAGTCAACTGCATGTGAAATCAGTTTACATGCTGCACAACCACATCTGTAACCGGATGTTGGCATCCACGTATCCCAGATTCCGCCGCTCGCAGTGCGAGACCAACCGGGGTCCTACCAAAATGATTACTCGGATCAGGCCCTCTGCTTCTCGGTTGCCGTATTTAAGAAGTACGCCATGTCTTTTTTCGGAAACAATTCTGTAGGTTCTTTCGAGACAGATTGCAAAATGGAGGACCTTAGTAACAGTTGCCGGCGCATTTTGCCCTCTGACCCGTCAACAATGAGGATGACGGAAGCCCTGCATAAAATGAGGGGAGGCTGTCTCCCTGATTTCCTCTATGGTGAGGAAGGGCTGGAGGCCATGTGCTTCACAACGCCAGCCTTAAAAACCGTGTTCGCTCAGTATGCTAAGGTGGTGCAGATGGACGGCACCTACCGTACTAACCGCCATGGGTTTGCGTTGTATCACATAGTGATAACTGACAAGCATGGTCATGCGCAGTCCGTGTTTTATGCATTCATACTTAGGGAAACAGCCGAAACCATCGAATGGATTATTCGAAAGTTTAGGGAAGTGATGGGCTCTGCTACCAAGGAAATACGAACCATTTTTATTGACAAAAATGCTAGAGAGTTAAGAGCTTTTAGACGCATTTTTCCCGAAATTGAGATTTCTGTTTTATTATGTACTTCTAACGTAATCCAAGCGTTCAGGCGCAAAATCACAAAGTTATATCTTAAAGAGAAAGCTGACTCAGCGATGCATTTTGTCAAGAAGGCGGTGACAACTGTTAGTCGAGCAACGTATAAGTCTGTGATGAAGCACATTGAGACGAATTTTCCGGAACTTTGGTCCTATGTCCAGGAAAATTGGTTGTCTTGTGAGCGCATGTGGGCCCACCATGCTCGAGCGCGAGTTATCACTTATGGTGACGACACTACTAATAAGACCGAGAGTATCAATCGAGTGCTTAAACAGTGGTGCAGGGGCAACATGTGCCTGACAGATTCCGTAACCGGTCTGGCAACCTTTCTACAGTCGGAGCAAGTCGACAGTGCAAGTTTGGAGACAGAAGAATACTGCAATCATAGGCAGTATACTGATTGCCCCAAACACGTTGCAGCAATATGCCAGAGGTTGACAGCATATGCGTCAGATGTACTCCTCAAGCATCTTGATATTAACAAAGGAGTTGAAAGTAGTAGCGAGCGGGTGGACGTGTGTAGCTGTCGGTTCTTTTCGAATTGGGAGCTGCCATGTGTCCACATAGTAAACTGCGTAGCTGCTAAAGGAGTTGACCCTCAGGTCGCTCTGACGGGCTGTAGATGGTTGACAATCGGGGAAGTACTTGAAGATCCTGAAACTAGCGAGAATCCTGACCTACAACCAGTTACCAGTTTTTTATCAGATGTGGTTCTGCCTCCATTTACCGAGACGTATAGGTACCGCGAAGCGATGAAGCGTATAGACCCCATCCTTGAAAAACTAAAAAATTGTGGACGAAGGCGCTTTGATGAGTTGCTTCGTAAATTGGACGCTTTCGTCGACGAAATCGCAAATGGTACTGATTCCCGCGACCAGTCGCCGCCTTACTCTGTAAAGGCGCAGGAAGACAAATGGGGTGTTGGCGAGGGTTCGGTGGCTAGTCGCTTTGTTGTGGGGTCAGGGGACAATATGTTGCGTGCACAAGCTGGAGCGGGACATGAGCAGCCCGTTTTACGGCTACACAATGACAGGTTGCTCCCTATCTTTCCCATCAGCAGTCGGCCTCGTCAAGCCGCCGACGATACCACTGTTTGTGATCAGGGATCGTTCATATAACTGTTGCTAACTAGGCTGATAAATCGACTTCTGGCACACTAATAGTCCCAAGAATTAATAAGTGAGGCAGTTTATGTGGTCAGCAAAACTCCGCACTCAGTCATCCATCAGTTACTGTGATAGTGGGCTGTCCGCCTGTCATACCAAAAGGCTGCAATATGTAAAGATTATAATTTTGTACTTTTTGCTTGCCGTGCGTATTTCCTTGGTAGAATGGCTCTGATTTCCTACTTTAAAATATGTTGCACGGCAACGCAATACCCAGCGGCATCTGAGCGAACGTCTGTCTACCGAACCGGCAGCACACTCATTGGTAAGAAGAGTAAAGTTAGGAGCATCTCCCTCAGACACAGTCCTCGAGAGACAACCTGTAAAACGGACGTCCAAAAAGCGCCACTAGCGAAAGCAATTTCTGCATCTTTCATAGAACGGTTAGTTCATCTTTCAATAACAAAATCCTATTTACAGGTCGTCAGGAAGGCGAAAGTACTCCTGTTCACAAAATCTGCCGCAGAATGACGGCATGTTCTACTCGACGGAAAATAAAGTGAAAATCAGCAGAGACTTCTACACGTATATGTACGAAAACTGCCATCAGACCGGAAAAGAGCGACGCAAACCACACAGATGAGATGGGCGCAAGGCTAGACACCCGTGAAAACACCAATATTATTTCGACGAAACAATACAATGAATTGACGGTTACGCGCATTGAGACGTTGTAAATAGTTTCCAATAAATTTTTAAATGACAACAGTTACATTTGTCGATGAGTAGACCTGCTGGGCTGATGAGACGTCTAACGGCAACTTTTGGCGATACTAAGTTTGATATGATAGTAGCGGCATGTTGGGTGAGTAGAAGTGCCAAGCCGTTGAAGGGAGGCTTAACGGTGGGTAGTAAGTTAGGACAGAGGGGCGCGCGCCGAGCGTGTTACAGAAATCCGTTGTGTCATGTGGCTCGCTCTCGAGTCCCTCCAGCAGCTGCACGGTAGGGCGTAGTGTGGGCAGCATAACATAACCGACATAGACAATGGAGACTGAAAAGGCAGATTTTGGATTGTTCGCCGTCATCGGTCAGCCGCACCCGA